CCAAATAATTAAGTCTACAATCGTCATCTTTAAACCTATGAAATCGATTTTTAAGAATCCATTTATAATTCTTTAAATTCCCCCCTAAATCCGAAAACCTAAATCCCAAATCCTGGAAAAAAAACATGAATTTCCGAAATCCTATGTACCCCTCCCCCCGCCCCCGTCCGGCAGAACGGGACTGAATACATAGCGTACTTCACCAGACAAACCCATCACCTGCCCCTTTTATGATGCAATCAGATTGTTTTCGCTGATGTTAGTTGATCCGTTTGGAAAGAATCGTCCTCACCCCTCCTGTAGCTTAGCTGTCGTTCTGGTGCAGCAGTTTGTTGCACATCAAGAGCTGAATGGAACGGAAGAGTGGTGGAGAAAGATGCGAAGCTTGCTATCCTCAGACTTCTTGTAGCCGAAGGTGTACTCAACTTTGGTCTCGTTTCCAGTCTCAGCACATGTAAAGTAGTAGTTGCCCATGGCAATGGCAAGGTCGCCGGTGAGCTTTGTCTGGTGGTTCTCAAACTTGACTTCTGACCAGCCCTTGCCGCCATTGATGGCAAAACCCGAGTCCTCAGCATGTCCACCCTCCACTGCATCGTGCCCAACAAAGTAGGACATGGCGTCGGAGGCGTTTGGGCGAAACTGGGCTTCAGCCGCCTTGGTCGGCTTGAAGAGAACCTCTGAGTGACCGTAGCCATAGAGTTCGCCTGCGGCAGCCGCAGCTTCGGCTACGTAGTCCCCCCCATCAAGATATGTTTTGGAGATGTGTTTGATGGCCTTGGCCCAGGCTGCTTGCGCGGCTTCGACCTCCTTCTCAGAGATGAAATCAGCAACCACCGTAGGGCTGCCCGTGTCAAACGGCACGGAAGAGTGGTGGAGAAAGATGCGAAGCTTTCCATCCAAGTTCTTCTTGTAGCCGAAGGTGTACTCAACCTTGGTTTTGCTCCCAGTCTCGGCACAAGTGAAGTGGTAGTTGCCCATGGAAATTGCCTTGGCAGCCCAGTAACCATATTATGATTTACGGCACCCTTTTTTGGGTTGGTTGTTGTACAAGGGAACCAGAACCCAAAAAAAAGGGGTAAAGGGTACCACTGGGCTACCAAGCAGCAATTGGGCCAGTGAGCTTCGTCTGATGGTTCTCGAACACGACATCTGACCAGCCCTTGCCGCCGTTGATGGCAAAGCCCGAGTCCTCAGAATGTCCACCCTCGACTGCCTGATGCCCAACGAAGTACGACAAGGCATCGGAGGCGTTTGGCCGAAACTGGGCTTCGGCCGCCTTGGTTGGCTTGAAAAGAACTTGCGAGTGCCCATAGCCATAAAGTTCACCTGCGGCTTCAGCGGCTGCTGCAACATAGTCTCCGCCAGCAAGATATGTCTTGGAGATGTCTTTGATAGCGCTGGCCCAAGCTGCTTGCGCATCGTTCACTTCCTCCTCGGATATCATGAAGGAGGTTTCAGGGTCATACGGCACTGAAGAGTGGTGGAGAAAGATGCGAAGCTTGCCGTCTGTTCCCAGTTTGTAGCCAAAGGTGTACTCAACCTTGGTCTGGTTGCCGGTTTCGGCGCAGGTGAAGTAATAGTTGCCCATGGCAATGGCAACGTTGCCGGTTCGATTTGTCTTGTGGTTCTCGAACACCACATCTGACCAGCCCTTGCCGCCATTGATGGCAAAACCTGAGTCCTCAGAATGTCCACCCTCAACTGCCTGATGCCCAACGAAGTACGACAGCGCATCGGAGGCATTTGGGCGAAACTGGGCTTCGGCCGCCTTGGTTGGCTTGAAGAGAACCTCTGAGTGACCATAGCCATAGAGTTCGCCTGCGGCTGCGGCAGCTTCTGCCACGTAGTCCCCCCCATCAAGATACTTCTTGGAGATGTCTTTGATGGCCTTAGCCCAAGCTGCCTGCGCATTCTGCACTGCCACCTCGGACACTAGAGGTTTTGCATCGAAAGAATCCAGGACTACCAGGGGTACTGACGAGTTCTGGAAGAAGATGCCAACCTTGCCCACCTCATCCTTCTTGTAGCCGAAGGTAAACTCAGCTTCAGTGATGCCACTCGTTTCCGCGCTGGTGAGGTAGCAAGTGCCCGAAGCAATGGCAATGTTATCAGTGATCTCAATCCTATACTGAACTTGGAACCCTGGCAAAAACTAAAGTTTAGCTGTTTCTGAGGACTTTTTAGCACCGAAAGCTTAAAAGAACTATTCCCGAGTATTCTTAGGACTTATAGTACCCCAAAAAACAGAAAATTGTTCCCCAAGTGTCGCTAAGAAGCTGGTGGTTGTCAAAGCCCACGTCCGACCAGCCCTTGCTCCCAATGATTGCGAAGCTGGAAGCTTCCTCTTTGCCTTCAGGTAGCCGGGTTTAGGGTTTAGGGTTTAGGGCTTAAGCCCAGTAACCCTCTCATGATGTAAGGGTACCCCGTTTTTCGGGGGGTTTAGGGTTTAGGGTTGAGGGTTGAGGGTTGAGGGTTTAGGGGTTAGTTATAATAAGGGAGAACCCCCCCCCCCCCCCCCCAAAAAAAAAACGAAGAGGGGGGGGGGGGGGGGGTGGGTGGAGGGTATCGCACTGGGCTAAAACCCTAAACCCTAAACCCTAAGCCCTAAACCCTAAACCCTAAACCCTAAACCCTACACCCTAAACCAGGGGTTGCCTGCGTTGTCCACCTTGGCGCCGGCGATGAAGGCCATGGCTTGGGCCGGCGGCGGTCGGAACTGCGAATGTACCTGGTAGGGTTTAGGGTTTAGGGTTTAGGGTTTAGGGTTTAGGGTTTAGGGTTTAGGGTTTAGGGTTTAGGGTTTAGGGTTTAGGGCTTAGGGTTCCTAAGATTTCCTTTGATAAGGACCCCAATAGGGTGCCCCTAACTTCGGACACACCCACCTCATTGGCCTTGAACAGAACTTTCACCTTGTCATCCTGGGTCGCCCAGTAACATATCATATCACTCCAAGGGCACCCTTTCTTTGGGTTGCTAACTTTATGTGGGAACCAGGAACCACCCAAAAAAAAAGGGTAAAGGGTACCACTGGGCTACCAAGAATCAGAGTAGAGCCTGTCTACTGCTGTGTGGGCCAGCTTCAGGTAGTTCCCGCCCGCATGGTAGGAGTTGGAGATCCTCATGACGGCCTTCGCGTAGGCGCGCTGGGCGTGGTAGACCTCCTTCTCCGAGATGTGTGGGGAGACGTCCAGGTCAAGCGGATCCACCCAAGAGGTGAACTGGCCTTGGTAAGCTAAGGGGTCCACCCAGGACCCGAGCTGCACATCGCTGGAGAAGAGCCGCGCCGGCGCGGCAGGGATGGGCCGCCCAAGGAAGCAGCGCGCCCAACGACTCCACGGCGCTCGCACGCTGCGCAGCGCCATGGGGGTTGTTATAAACTCGGCTTAAAGGCAAAGATCGTGTCTCACTGAAATTATCGGCAGTCGGCACGTGATCCTATAGGCTTTGCGCCCACTCCTGTCCTGAACCGTGTCACTCTCATCCTTGAAGATATTTGCAACATGTCCAACAACTAACTTTGACGGGAGTGAAGACTTTAGGGACAACGTTTGATTGCTTGCGCGAGGCTTGGCATTTCATGGTTGCAGTCGCTAACGTAGTGCTTGGAATGGTGGAGAATTGGTAGAGGGAGTGGAGGTAGTCAAACTGATGGGTTCCAAACAATGTTGCGTGATAAAGTGCTAGTAGGAGAACACATATTCGAGGCCCCAAGAATCAGAGACCCGGGACCTACCCTAAACCTTAAACCCTAAAAATCTTCAGCCCTCCGCCCGTCGCCGCAAAATCGGGTTTGTGGGGGGTCAGGGTTTAGGCTCCGGACGCCCGATACCCTTAAATCCCAAACCCTAAACTACTATTTGCTGAAGAACCCCAAAAACACAACGTAATCGTGATCCCTATAGTGCACTTGTAAGCATGAATGAATATGCTCTTTGTTTTTTTTTTTTTTTGGGGGGGGGGGGGGGGGGGGGGCTCTTATGCAAATAGACTAGGGGCAGGTGCCGTCGCTTGCCGGCAGATACCGTTTCATGGCAGATGCGGAAGGCTCAGATCGACAGCCGCTTCAGGGAGATGCAGTTTGAAGCTGTTGATAATTGTTATCTAACACAGTTGCGTTCTCATATCTCTTCCAGGCATATGCCCGAAATGAACGCATAACATACTAACACAAAGAAACAACGAAAGCGATTGACGTCAGTAAACAATAGTAAACAAACATATACATATATATGTATAAATAAACAAATATGAGTGACATTTGCGTTGTGTGACTTTTGTTGGATCTTTTCCAAAACGTCTTTCACACCGTATATAATATATATATATATATATATACAGGAATGACCAAGATGCCAGGCCTCCCAAAAAAAACACTTAACAATTTCAATCTCGTGCGACTCTTCCTCAACATGGAGAACTCTCTCACTTGGTGCCGTAGTCGCAGACCCTGCGAAACTGGTCTCCATACAGGCTAACTTGGGGACTTCCTAGGGGATCTCTCGAGGATTCTTCACATGTGCGAAGAAAGCCCCCCCAAACAGGGCACCCCCAGACTATTACTGCCTATTAGTCCCTATAAGTGCCTATTAGTCCCTTCATTCTCAGTGTGTCGAATTATTAAACGCAGCCATGCGCGCGCCTTTGCCCAACCCAGGCCCAGCCGGTCGGCGAAACGATCGAAGCATCCAAGACCAGGCTGGCTAGCCGATCACGACCACCCGTCGCTCTCGGACTCTGGATTTCGGGGGACTGATCGAAAGCTCTGACCTAAACCCTCAACCCTAAACCCTAGACCCTAAACCCTCAACTCTAAACCCTAAACCCTAAACTGTACGGATTGGGGAGTTTAAGGTATCAAGGGGTTGAGGATCCAGGGCTCGACAGCTTGGAAGGCTTACAGGCTTGGCGTGCAGATAGGGCTCGGAGGATTCCTTGTACAGGACTTGGGACGTTCTTTGTGGTGTCAGAACTTCGAACAGCGCCCCCTCTCCTGCCTGTAAAGGCAACCTGATGCTCTACATTCTGCTTTCTGGCGAAGAACGGCAGATGGATTTAAGGTTTAGAGCTCAAAAGCTTACTTTCGGGAGCACAGCGACGGAAAAGCTCGTCTAGTCCTTGTGGCATAGAGCAGGCTCCCTGCGATCTTACAGCTCGATAAAAGCCGTCCGAACTCCTCATGCATCGTGTAGATGTGCATATGTAGATAGATGGACAGATTATATATATATATATATACATATAGATATGTATTTGGTATCAGGGTATGTACATACATACACCCTGGGGTGTATGAATACACATATATAAATAATAATAATAATAATAATAATAATAATAATAATAATAATATTATTACTATTATTATTACTATTATTATTATTATTATTATTATTATTATTATTATTATTATTATTATTATTATTATTATTATTATTATATATTATAGAGACATATGTATATGGTATATACTATATACTGTATATTATATGTAATATGTTATAAGTTATATATTATATCATATATTCTATTTTATTCTATAGTATTTTATCGAAGATGTATATATTATATATACATATGTATATGTGTATATATATATATGTATAATGCATATACATATGCATATACACCATGTATATATATATATATAATACGTAGATTTATACACAGAGTTTGAGGTTGAAGCCAGGTCAGGCGCGAGAGAAACGCTCTCTGCGCATCATCGACTTGAGTCTCCCGCCAACACTGCCATCCTCTGATATGGGGCTTTACGAAAAGGGCTTAGGGTTTAGGGTTTAGGGTTTAGGGTTTAGGGTTTAGGGTTTAGGGTTTAGGGGAAAATAAGGGACCCGTAATAATTCGGATTTGGGGTTTAGGGTATATAGGGTTTAGGGTCAGTAGGATTCCCTTTAAAAGGGACCTCAACAAGGTACCCCGAATTTCGGATGCATCCATATGAGAAGTCCTCGTAAGCTTGGCCCTCAACCGTATGAAACCCAAGGGTTTAGGGTTTAGGGTTTAGGGATCAGGCAATGAGGTCATGGACGGCACTGTTGAAACTCCGCTACGTCGAGGGTTTGCCCTTGTAAATACTGTCCGGCACCACGCTGGCCTGAATTCCTCGGCTGAGTGACATCGTCAAAGCAGGTTCCTTGATGCCGTAGGAGTTGTAGTTGACATGTCTTTAATGCAGGTTACGCCACGCTCATACATCAAATGCGGAGTGCACTCTTGCAGTTTACGCCACTCACATAATACCCTAAACCCTAAACCCTCTGAAGGCACCTGAAGTTGGAATAGCGCCCTTCTTCCTCTGAAGGACAACTCTAGGGCTTAGGGTTTAGGGCGTAACCACTAACCACGGAACCTCACACCGCTAGATTCTTAAGCTCACAGCCCTTGTGCAGAACCCTAAGCCGGATGATCCCCCCAACACCATGAAGGTGGAGAGGCTGCCAACCCAGTTCCGTCAGAGAACCTGGAAGCATGTCTTGGTATGTTGAGTATGTTTGGGCTTTAGTGGCCGTCTAGGGCCTTACGACCCTAAACCTTCATTTCACATGGTTAAGCCTCAGAACCCTAAACCCTAAACCCTAAACCCTAAACCCTAAACCCTAAACTGCTTTGGCGGCCCAGAGTCCGTTTCGGCAGAGCTCCGCGCCATACTGCTCTGCTGCTGGGCGGGGCACGACGCAAACCTCTTGGGCCAGGTTCGTTTTTCCCAGGCGGGTTTCGGGTTTCGGGTTTCGGGTTTAGGGTTTAGGGTTTAGGGCAGCGCTTGCGCACGGTGCAAGCCCGGGGTCTCACCTAAGGATTCACTATAAGGGAGAAGGGGCTTAGGGTTTTCATGGGTGTGGAAAGGTGCAAGCTGCGAGGGGTTTTAGGGTTGAGGCAGTTTGTTGGCCGGCTGCCGAGCGTGGACTCTTGGCGTGGTCTTGGAGTGCCTTCAAAGTGGTCTTGGAGTCGCAGGGGTCATCTAGTCACTAGTGCTTCTGCAAAACATCTTGGGGAGCACTCACTAAGTTCTCGGAGTGGTCTTGGCATGGATGGCATGGATTTTGGAGTGTTCTGGCACGCGGACACAGCAGGGTGTAGTGCCTTGCAAAAATCTGAAACCCCGCACCCTAATCAGACCTGTTCAAACACGCCCTCTGTGCAGGCGGGCGTCGGTCACCACGCCAATCCCACTAGGATCCGCATCGCCATTACTCCAGCACTCTCGCGTGAGGATCTGCGCCTTTCAGCCACTGTCTCGGATTTAGAGTATAGGCTCTCAGCTTAGGGAGCAACCGGCGCAGGCGTTTACAGGGGGTTAGGATGTAAGGTACAAGTTCAGGGCGGCTTGGACAAACGAGAAACTAGGGCAGTCATCCGGGAGGCCGATTTCTTTTCCTTGTTGTGCTGCAACCTACGCGACTGCCATAGGGTGATGCCCCCTTCGTAGTGCAGTGACCATTTTATGGCTATGAGGGCACCCTTTTGTGGGTTGGTTACTTTGTAAGG